TCTCTCGGTCTCTCTGTCTCTCTGTCTCTGCATTGCCCATGGCCGCCTGGATTTTTTGCACCCAGGACGGCTCCCTCACAGGTGGCGTGCCCACCTTGCTGCCGGTTTCCAAGTATCCGCGAGCTGAGTCCGAAGGCGTGAGATGCGACGGGGCGGGCATCAACCCCGGCCTGAGGCGGTCGGAGCTATCCTACATGCTGACAGCAAAGGGGTGGCAATTCTCAGAAGTGTGCGGACTTCACTTGATGCGTTGGTCAAAAGAAATCCTTCATGCGCCATGCTCAAGGCATCCGAACATCCTCAACCTGCACTCCGTGTTTCGGCAACCCACCAACGGTCAATGGGTGCTTATTCTGGACTGTGAGGCTCTCAGGGACATCTTAACGAAGCTGGTAGCAGATCTTTCAACCGTTGTTCCTTCTCAAGCATCTCTTCGCACTGCCTGATGCTGAGTCTGTGCCGGTGGCGATGCTTTCACTCATATCTCCAAGACCGGGGTCCAGCCAGAGGCCTGACCCGGGGGCTTTTCTCTGGTGGATCGATCCCGCTGCATTGAAAGAGCTCGCAGATGTAGCCATCCCGAAGCCCGAAAAACTTACCCCACTCCTTGGTCTGCGTGCATGGCTCGTCAGGCCACCTGCAAGACGATGCTGGAGGGCCTTCTGCTCGCATGCGGGCACCTGCACTGGCTTGACATCCTTCACCGGGACGTTCCGCCCTCGGAGCAAGAGTTTCGATACTCTTCTTCCGTAGTGCCATCACCAGAGACATCTACGAACCAAGGAGGCGTTGTAGATGGCATGACAGCTCCGGGTGATGATGATGATGATGATGATCGTGGTAGTGGTGATGGGGTGGTGGTGATGATGTTGTTGTTGCTACTGCTGCCGATGATGATCATGATAGGAAAATGACAGTCAAGCAACATTCGTCAGATTCTTTCCCGTCAACGTCATCATCATCACCATCATCATCATCACCATCATCATAATCTTCCTCGTCGCCATTGCACCCATCAGCGCTGTGAAGCGACCACAGCTCAATATCGATCAGAGATCATTTTGCTTATCCGGATGTCGTGTCTCAAAGCTGGACTCAAGGTCAAGCCCGAGAATTTGTTGCTGCAAACAGGCCAAGCTTCATTGCTGCGGCATCGATATCGCCGTAGATGCGTGTGTGTATATGTATATATATATATACACACACATACATATATATATAATGAACTTATTAAATAAATACATAAATAAATAAATGAATACATATATATATATATGTATATATATATATGTATACATATATACATATATATATATAGAGTCTGTATACACATTATAAATAGTATATATATATATATGTATATGATTATATATATATAGATAGAGACATAGATATCGATATAGGTAAAGATATAGATATAGATAGATAGATAGGTAGGTAGATAGGTAGACAGAAGGAGTCGTACACCCACCCACACATACATGCATGTATGTAAACTTTTTTTAAACATATATGTGTATGTGTGCATATATGTATATATACACATACATACATACATACATACATGCATACATACATCTATATATATATACGTATGTATATACAGGTGTATACATGTACACGTATAGTTTTCAATATGTGTGTCTGTTTCTGTATTTATCACATCTGGTGTGAGATTTCCTGCTTGATTCTTCCGGCATCTTCATTCGAGTTTGGCTGGCTTCACTTTGCTCTGCCTTTGCAGATCAGTAAAGAACCGTGGATATCCTGGCCGCAACTCAAATTAGCACTGCTACGATGAGGCCGATCTCAGAGTGATAGGGGGTTTCGTGCACTAGTGCGAAAAATGACAGTCATGTTAGATAGTGGACAGGTAGTAGCATCAAGACCGTGAGGATCAATGTTATATACGGAGAACTCGTGAAGTTTACTTACGGGGGTTCAGCAACAGCCGTCGTCGTCATCGTGATGGTCCATGGTGTTCGCGGTCGTTGTTCTGGTCGCGATGGTGGTGGCGTTTCTGTGCGTGGTAGTGGCAGCAGGTTACGAGTAGGATTGTTGTGTTGTGTGTTCGTTGTTCCTTGC